AAGGTGAAGTTGATTCGCGATAGGCTCAAGGTAGCCTAGTCGAGACAGAAAAGTTATGCAGATTCTAAACGCAAGGAGATAGTTTACGAAGTTGGAGACAGAGCTTATCTTCGAGTATCTCCACTTCGGGGAACAAAGCGTTTTGGAGTTAAAGGGAAGTTAGCGCCACGATTTATAGGACCATATCGAATTGTGGAGCGTATGGGAGAAGTGGCCTACAAGTTGAAATTGCCCGAAGGATTGTCAGGAATTCATGATGTGTTCCATGTTTCCCAGTTAAAGCAGTATCACGCGGAGATAGCTAACATACCATTGAGAGACACAGTGCCTTTGGAAACTATTCAGTTGGATAACAATTTGACCTACGAGAAGAAACCAGTTAAGATCCTCGAGTTTGCTAGCCGAGTTACTCGCAGCAAAGTTATCAAGTTTTGCAAGGTTCAGTGGAGCCACCACATGGAGGATGAAGCCACCTGGGAACGAGAAGAAGATTTGCTCAAAGACCACCCTCACCTATTTTCTAGCCAACCCGAATCTCGAGGGCGAGATTCATCTTAAGGAGGGTAGGTTTGTAACATCCCAAATTTTCAATTTGGAATGTTATACATTAGATCATCATGCATATCATATTTTATTTGCTTTGGGTTTTGATCCTAGAAAATTCTAAGCAACTCAAGGACCCACGGAGAGAGTTGGGGATTTCGTTATTTTCATATTTGAGTTTTTCTCAAATTTTGAGAATAGGATCATTTGATTTTATTTATTTTATCATCAATTATTTCTATTACAAAAATATGAGAGAGGGAATAAAATGACTTTCCCAAAATAAATAAATATTGAGGATTTAATAATAAAATCAAATAAGATTTTATTTCGGAGTTTTTCGGTGTTTTTTTTGAATTTAGGAAAAATGTGCGTTTTTCAAAATTGTATTTAGGTCCCAAATAAATGTTCATCTTGTGCAGCTTGATTTTAGAAGCCCGAGAAAATTTATTTCGGAATTTTTGAAGTCCATTTAATATTTCTTTTTATTTTTCTTCCGAGCGAAAAAAAGTGAACCGACCTAACCGGGCCGTGTCTGTCCGGGACTCTGGCCCGGCAGGATTTAAAAGCCGGGGCAGCCCACCCGGGCAAACCCTAGCCCCGAGCCGCCCGAGCCGCCCCGCCCCACGCGCCGCCGCCGCGGCCCGCCGCCGCCGCCGCCGAGGTTCGCCGCGCCTCGACTTTCGTGCCATCAGTTTTTTTTTAAAACAATAGATCGGTTTTTTTAGTTTCGATTTTTTTAAATAGATCGGTTTTTCCGGTTTATTTAAATAGCGAGCGTTCGTCCGTTCGTTCGTTCTAGCGAGCGTTCGTCGTTTTTCTTTTTTTCGGATTAAATCCGTGATTTTTCTGATCGCGATTCCTGATCCGATTTTCGTTTTAGTATAGCTTTTCACTCGTTTATCGGAATCAGGCGATTCAAGCGCCTAGAGTTTCGTCTCGAAACCCTCTATCCGTTTAACCAACTTAAACGAGATTTTGCTACTGTAAAATTTGCCCTAGATCCAGATTACCAGAATGAAGTTGTTTTCTTTCGCCGTTTGACTTTCTTTGCTTCGTTCGATTTGATTCTTTTTGCCAACCGGAGTTATTAAGTTGAATCTTCTGGTTAGATCTCTTATTTGAGTTTTACCCGTGCATTAGATGAGTACTTATTGTATGCTTGTTTGTTTGTCTGCGATAGAATACCCGGAGTGCGCCGCTTGTTACTTCGAATCTCTAGATTTCGCGGATCATCAGCAAGGCAAGTAACACTTTGGTCATACCTTTCCTACTACCCAGTTTTATTGCATTAGATCAATCCTCACACATTGCATGATTAGGATCTAATTAAATTGTGGGATGAGAAGTAGTTGAGGTAGTACCTATTACCTGTGTATTATCAAACCTTTGGGAGTTACTTCTACGTTTGCTTATTATGCCATGCTATGCTAGTAGACGTGGATTGGGTGAGTGATATCCATGAAAGATGTGAGATTGTTAATTAATGGTTTATCTAAGATGGCAACTTAAACACACATCTGGGTGGATTGAGACACCTGGGTATTCCAGGACTTGCCTGTTTTTCTTTTGGACCGTCACCCAGCCTCAAAGGGATCATGAGACTATTCAAATTAGAAACTTCCATGTGCAGCCACAAGCTATTATGGGCTCTAGTATAGTTGACTAAGTCGTGCGAACTCTTATAATGGTAGACTAGTAGATGTAGGGGATGTAGGTGGTACGGTCTACCCGATCGTAAGGTGCTAGCGCTTCTGAAAGACTATGTCTCGGTCATCCGTCTTCTCAAACACCATGTGGTGCGAGAAACCAAACGGAGGCAATCGAGTCTTGTGGGGAAAAGTGCGCAAACCTCTGCGGAGTGTAATAAACTAATCATGGTTAGTCGTGTCCCCGGTTATGGACATCTTGAGTATCTAGTACTTGGATTATCATGTGAATCTCAACATGTTACCCTAAATTAATTTTGTTGGGTTATGTTTAATGATGATGCTTAATTGGGATTGAGAATGCTATCAACCATTCTCAATATTTAACAACTACCATAATAGTTAAATAAATCTATTCTTTTAAAGTAGGGAAAAATTGGCTTTACGCTAAACTGTAACCATAGAGCTTTCCACCAGCCAAATATGCATATAGTATAGCTGTTTCATTCCATTACTCTCTATGTGTTGCATTGCCAGCATATTCCATGTGCTGACCCATTTTCGGGCTGCAACGTTAATGTTGCAGACTTTTCAGACGACGATTAAGGAGTTTTTAGGTCGTGGTTCTATACTCAGTGATGCCGTTGGAGTTGATGGACTCACTTATCTTACAAGTCTTTCGCTGTTATCGTTATTAGATGGCCTTAAGCCATATTTATTGTAATAAGTTCTCTTATGAGACACTCGATGTAATAAGTGTGTGATTGCTACTCTGCTATAAATCCTTCGAGTACTGTGTGGTGTCAACATTACTGATCCAGGAATGACACCGAAGCACAGAGATCAGATTGTTTGAGGTCTGGTCGCTACAGTAGTATCATACACTAGTATCATATACATGATACTAGTATATGTTACTCCGCACTATGACCAGCCTCAGCACCCGCCTGGAGAACTGCAAAAATTGTGGGCTCCATTAAATACCACAGACCGACCATTGTTCTGATGACTGGTTGGCCTCGCCTTTGAAGTCTTACGTGGCCGGAGTGCGTGAGCATTTTAGGACGTGTCCGGACAGTTTTTCAGACCGTCTGAACCAATGGGAGGGCCACTAGAGGCTATTTTTATGTCCATAACATCACTGTACCAATTATACTATGGGGTGCCCGTGTAATTTCTTTTAGGCTGGTCATGCTGGGAAGTATCATACATGTGTACCATGCATATGATACACGTGTGATACTTTGCCTTTATAATGTATAGTATTATGTAGTAATATCATAGTCTCGGATTATTTATTATTTGGTAGAATCTCTATACAAATATGTGTATAAGATCTATTTGCCATTATATTTCCTTGGTTTACGTGCTATAATATAGTATCTACCTATATTACTTTAATCATATTTCTTCCTTAATTAGTTGCCATCTCATTGCTCTTATATATACACATGATACCATTTAAGATACTAGCACTATGCCTAACCTATAGTCTTGTCTTCTTAGATATAACACATCTTAAAAATAAGCGCGAGCGAGCGAACCAACCTATGGTTGGATGGTTAGAGGGACTATGGTATTCCCAGTCCACCAGGGTTCAAATCTTGGTGCTCGTATATATTCATGGACTTATTTCAAGATTTCCAGCGATGTGCATTGAGTGGGAGGAGACGTTCCCATCGACGACGAGGCGCCTACAGTGACTTCGTAAATCTCAAGATGATATGTCGGCTCAGTCTTTCGGAGATGCTCATAGGGATAGAGTGTGCGTATGTGTGTGTTTATAGTGATGAGTGTATGTGCATGTATATGAGCGCTTGTATCTGTACTGATGTTTAAAAAAAACACACGAGCTATCCTCTTTCGGCCCCTCCAAGTCAGGCCGCATGTACGCCTGTGCACCTGGATTTGAGCCATAATAGACTCAAAGATATTGACACTATGCCAAGGTTTAGTCTCAGTCTTGGATATAACACGTCTGACAATTCCAACTTGAGACACAAGCTTCAACACTATCTAGTGCTGCCAAGGAACTTCAGATGCGTGTGTGCGTCCATAGAGGTGAGCTTTGCGTGTATGTATGCGCGCTTGCGTCTGTACTGATGTTTAAAAAAAACGCAGATTCCGAGAACAAGGTGTAGACACGCCAAGCACATGCTTTCTGTCGGGTTGTCCTCGACCCCACACTCTGAGTCAGCTTGGACAGTTGGACTGGTTCGTTCAGTGCAATGTGTTGTTAATGCCAAGATTAGATTCCCTTAAACTATCACTGGCCAATGGTACTTGTATTCTTACGCCTTCCATAATTTATTTAAAATATGCAGTGGGAAACCCACAGTTCAGCTCCAAAAAGAACAAACAAGTTTAATGAATTAACCCCGTGCAGGTTGTTGTCTTTATATTGTTGGAAATAAGGTGTGCCGCAAACCGGAGAGAAGAAGATGGTTTGGCGGAAGCCAGGTTTTGCACGATTCCTGGCATCACATTTGTGACCACGGAGTGCGACTCATTCTTTTACCCGTTAACACGGCGGGGATGTACATTGGCTCCAACGTCAATTCAAGGTTGGCGACAACAGTGACATACTGGCAAACTATATCTTCAAGTTTGGCGCACATCACACGATATCTTCAAGTTGCTTCCCTGATTTCAGTTGATCGCTGGTTCTGATATTCTGTTGGCTGATCCACTTGATCTATCGCCTATTTAAGCGAGACCACCAGACTAGCCAGAACTCCACACGACACAGCCAAAATAACGAGGAGCTCTTGCATGTGCCTCCTCCTCGTCCTCCTGTGATATATTCTCATGGCCGTCCAGCCCCCCAACCCGGCTTCTCCTGTTCCCCTCGTCCGGGCAGCCAATCTCGGCGGCTGGCTCGTCACAGAGGGCTGGATCCTGCCCTCCCTCTTCGACGGCATCCCTAACAACGATCTGCGGGTAATGAATTCACCAAGCTGTTTCGTTCGTCGTCCGTGTAGAATTAATGCCATGCTCATGGTCGATCGATGGAGCAGGATGACACGCAGCTGCAGTTCAGGTCCGTCACGCAGAATGCGTTCATAGCCGCCGAGAATGGCGGCGGGGCGGCATTGGTCGCCAACCGGGCCTCGGCCTTCGGCTGGGAGTCCTTCAAGCTCGGGCGAATCGACACGAACACGTTCAACTTCAAGGTGTTCAATGACCAATTCGTTACCATCGCCGGTGTTAACGCGGTGGCCACGGCCGCCATGGCCGGGAAGACAGAGATGTTCCAGCTACTGCACAACGACGTTGACAAAAATAGGATGAGGATCAGAGCACCGAATGGGTCCTTCTTGCAGGTAAGTAACTTAATACTAAAATCACGAGTATTTGACAAAAAACTACCACACTAAGAGTTGCCGTCTCACAGAACTATCACATTCAAAAAAGTGACTGATAACTACTAAAAATTTCTAATTTTATGACTAAAAACTACCACTTTTGAAAAATGGTCAGTTTAGACGATTTAAACACGTTTATGACATGCGGGACCCACTTGTCAGGGCTGATGTGGCGGCAAAGTCAACTCTGTTTATTTTGACCGTTAAGTTGACCGTTATTACAAATGGGGCCCACCTGTCAGCATCACTCTTCTTCTTCCTCGTCTCTCTGGCATTTCCTCAAACACCTCGTGTGCATTGGGGCTTGAGCTCCGAACTCCTCCATGGCGACGCCCCGGCGCAGTACGTCACTGGCGTTGGTTGGGCACTGGAACGGCGGGGCAACCAAGACTGTTGGAGCTGTGGAAACGGCCGCCGAAGCTGACGGAATTTCCTCCAAAGCCGTCGGTACGTGCTCAAGCAACTCGGTGCGTAGGCGGGACTGTCGCTCTTGCAGCTCCTCGACGAGGCGCGCGAGCTTGGCGGCATCCGGCACCGCGGCCTCGCGTGTCGGATGCACCTGCACGGAGGACGTGAGGCAGGCGACGAAGAGCGCCAGGAGCTCATGTGGTAGCTCGGACCAAGGTCGATGCTTGAGCGTGCACGTGCATTGCCGTTTAATTCTTTGAACAATAATTTAGTTGGCCAATGCTTGAGCGTGCTCGTGCTTTGTATTCCCTCCGTTCCGAATTATTTGTCTTAGACTTGTCTAGATATAGAGATATCTTGCACTAAAATGAGTCTAGATACATTCGTATCTAGACAAAACCAAGACAAGTAATTCGGAACGGAGGGAGTAGGTTCGTGCAAATACTAGCTAGGTTGGTTCGTGCATGCCGGTGGCGCCGGCAGTTGAGGACGACAGAAGTGCCTTGCGAGTGCACACGAGGTGTTTGAGGAAATGCCAGAGAGAGTAGGAAGAAGAAGAGTGATGCTGACAGGTGAGCCTCATTTGTAATAACGATCAACCTAACGGTCAAAATAAACAAAGTTGACTTTGCCGCCACATCAGCCCTGACGATGGGTCCCGCATGTCATAAACGTGTTTAAATCGTCTAAACTGACCATTTTTCAAAAATGATAGCTTTTAGTCATAAAATTAGAAATTTTTGATAGTTATCCGTCACTTTTTTGAATATGATAGTTTTGTGGAATGGCAACCCTTAATATGATAATTTTTTGTCAAATACTCCTAAAATCACTGATGCATGAGTCCTAGGACGATAGCGACCGTACCAGCTAAGATCAAATCGCTAAGCTGGACGCCTCACGCGGGGTATGCCGGGGCATACTTGCATACCCTGTATGTCCGCGGCGTCGCTATTGATTGTCCCACGGATAAGCAGGAGAAGCTCCTTTATCGTGAATGACTATGGCCCTGTTTGATTCATAAGTCTTAGGACTTTTTTTAGTCTCAAGTCCCTAAAAAGTCTTCACCTGTTTGGTTCCCGAGACTTATAAGTTTCTATAAGACCATATTACAACTATAAGTCCCTCCTTGAGAGTCTTATTTTATAAGTCCCAAATACCCACCTTAAGTCCCTATAAGTCCCTCATGTTTGGTTTAGATGGGACTTATAGGGACTTATTTAAGTCCCTAGACCAATAAGTCCCTGGAAACAAACACCCTCTATGACAAGTACGAGAGTTTACAACCGCAAGTTGCATGGAAGGGTACTTATTGTTCCTAATTAAACAACTACGAGTCATCAATATGTTCCTTTGCTGACAATGCAGGCAAATAAAGATGGTTCGATGACGGCAAACTTTGGCAAGAGCACGACCTGGGGAGACGATGATCCGTCTGTGTTTGTAGTGACCATAGTCAATTGGGTGCCCTCCATCTTCGATGGCATCCCCAACAAAGATCTCCTGGTAATGAGTTAACCTTGATAATGTTTCCTCCTTGTGGGTTGAATTTAGGCCAGGCGCTCATCCTCTTTCTTAATTTATCTCGGTTGATCGATGGAGCAGGATGGCACACAGCTGCAGTTCAAGTCCGTGACGCAGAACGCGTTCGTGGCTGCCGAGAATGGCGGCGGCGCAGCGTTGGTCGCCAACCGTCCCTCGGCTTCCGGCTGGGAGAGCTTCAAGCTCTGGCGGATCAACCACAACACCTTCAACTTCAAGGTGTCCAACAACCAGTTTGTGACCGTCTCCGGTGTTAACGTGGTGGCCACGGCCTCCGCGCCGGGGCAGACTGAGACGTTTCAGCTAGTGCGCAGCTACGGCGACAAGAATAGAATGAGGATCAGAGCATCAAATGGGTCCTTCTTGCAGGTAATTAGTAAATTAATATTCCACTCAGTAGTAGTATTTTATATGTTTCGAGGTTAGACTATTGATTGTATGAAAAATCAGACAGACATAGCAAGCAAGAAAAGTTACTTTGACTATGACTAATAAAGTTTACAATCACAATCGTTCATGATTAAACATCTATGAGTCATCACTATGTTCCATGGCTGGCACGTCAGGCAAATAAAGATGGCTCGGTGACGGCCAACTTCGGCGAGAGCACGACCTGGGGAGACAATGATCCGTCCGTGTTTGCAGTGAACATAGTCAACGGGCCACAAGGGGAGTACCAGATTTGCAATGGCTACGGCAAAGATATGGCTACACAAGTCATGAATGTATGTATGCTGAAAGATATCTTAATTTTCTCCATAATTTTCTGAGATATAGGATAGAGACATTAAAGCTAGTTTATATATTAGGATGGCAGAAAGTTCAACTGATCTTGGTGTAGAATTTTCTTAAACACGAAATATAAGTGTCAATCATTTTTGGCAATTCAATTTCGTTAACTCCATATATATGTTTGGCAGAACCACTGGAGCACATATATCGTGGAAACCGATTTCGCGTTCATGGCAGCAAACAGTCTGAACGCGGTGAGGATCCCTGTGGGATGGTGGATCGCCAGCGACCCCAACCCTCCAGCTCCATTCGTGGGAGGCTCTCTCCAAGCATTGGACATCGCGTTCACATGGGCAGAGTACGTACATACATACATGTGTAGTCTTTAACAAACTAGAATGTCTTCATTGAACTTTTTTATATGTTTTTTAACCCATGTATAGGAGGCACAACATTCACGTGATAATAGACTTGCATGCCGCACCTGGGTCGCAGAACCCCGACGCGCATAGCGGTGGTAGGGATGGCTCGCAGACATGGGGAGACTCCCAAATCGCGCAAACTGTGCAAGTCATTGATTTCCTCGCCGCAAGGTATTTGTCTAACAATCCGTTACTATATTTTTTACTTAATAAATTATTGTTTTCATGTATTAGATCGCGCAAAGAAGCCATGTAATTCGATCACCTTGCTATCCTTCATTGCATTTGACGTACATACAGGTACGCCAAGAGATCAAGCCTCCTGGCCGTGGAGTTGATGAATGAGCCGGTTGCTCCCGGCGTGTCCTTAGATAGCCTGAAAACATACTACCAACAAGGCTACAATGCCGTTAGGAGGCACTCACTTACAGCCTATGTGATCATGTCCAACCGTCTTTCAGGATTTTCGTTGGAGCTCCTCGACTTTGCCTCACAGTTCAACAGGGTCGTCCTCGACATGCACTACTATGCGTTGTTCGATAAAAAGTTTGATAGTTTCACTGTGCAGGATAACATTGATTATTTCAACAACTTCATCGCCAGTGAAATCAACGCTATAAATAGGCCAGATGGCCCTCTCACATTTGTTGGTAAGTTTGTGACAGTTAGATTATCCTTTGATAAAGGTTCCAGGCTGAACTTTAGTGTCCCAATTGAAACCTAGGTCCAAAATAATTGATGCATGTCTTGTTTTGTATAGGTGAATGGGTGGCTGAGTGGCAGGTAAAGGATGCAACAAAAGAGGACTTCCAACGGTTTGCAAATGCGCAGATGGCTGTGTATCGGAAAGCCACATTTGGATGGGCTTACTGGACCTACAAGAATGTTAACAACCACTGGAGCATGCAGTGGATGATGGACCCCTACATCTCCTTAGGAAATGCTTGAGGCAAATAAAATTACAATAGTGAATGGAGGAGCTGGCAACAATTTGAAAAAAATGTATGATTGAAGTGATGAGAAATTGGCCCCTTTGCAAGATGAATTATTGATGTAGTATGATTTTTCTGGACGTGTGATGTAAGTTCTATTTGTAAGTTTATTTGCCACATAAGCAATTTATTTGTTTCATGCTAGTTATTTATCTAGTGCTTGTGTACTTGACTATTAGCTCTATTTTACTTGTAACACATCTATTTTTCTGAGACCTTGCTCTTAACACCTAAGCTCACAGGGGCATATCTATGAATGTCTTGATAAAAAAACTATATATATATATATATATATATATATATATATATATATATATATATAGACATTTCGTCAACTTCTACAGAAAAAAAATTGTACCAGGTTATCTATGAACAAACCCTAGCTTGTAAGAAGAGTGCAATGTGAGATGACCTTTGGACTCGTAGTATTATCTATTTCTTCAAGTGTGCCTGGAGGTGGTGTTTTGGCTTATAGGACTGGATACACCCATTATGTAAAATACATTAAGAAAATATTTTAGAATGTCAAAAAGATATGACAAAATAATTTAGGTGCACATCCGGACATTTTATCTTCACGCAACAAGTATCGCGAGAAAAAGACATTTTTAGTCACTTGTGTAAAAAGACAAAATGCGGTACTTGAGAATGAGTTTTCATGAGATATTGTCTTTTTAACATAAGCCAAAAATAATATCTTTTTTTTCATGAAATCTGTTGTGCGAACATGATGTACACCCTAATATTTTTTCAGAATATTTTAACATTTAAAAAAAGTGCATTTTTGTCCAGAGGGAGCATACGCTCCTATGACCCGAAGTGGATTTCCCAGCCTGCCTTTCCTATTTCCATCTTCTCCCTGTTTGATCCCACTTGTGCCCTCCCACTTGTGTCCTCTACGTGCCATGTTCCCACAGTCGTAGCACATGCCAGCAAGCAGCCAACGGCTACATCACCGGTCAATGCCAGCAGGCAGCCAATGTATTTGGTCATGTAGCCCTCATCAACACGAATCCCACTACGACCAACTAGACACAAATAGGGATGTTGACGTGCCAACGACTGAGTAAAAAAATGTGGTGCTAGTCATCGTGCAATTGATCGAGTTTGCAGTTTTTCTTGGTTAGAACCCCGCGAGACAAGATACTTTTGCACTTATTCAATTTAATTTAATTTAAATTGTATGAATATTCTTTTCCGAGTAAACAGCACGAGCTCTGACTTTCAATTCGATGAATAGTCACTTGCTGGTACGTCTTCAAGACCGGGTCAAGAAAATTACACAAACCGTGTCTCTAGGATACAACTTGCGACATCCGCAAAAAAATAAAGAAAAAAAGATACAACTTGCGATGTGGGACGAACATGCATGCATCAGTAAGAGTGGTCTGGTAAGCAATCCTGGATTATGGCAACTAGCGTGCACAGCATAAGCACAACTATCCCTGTCACCGCCAACTAAGAAATGGACAAGTTGTGCTTAAATAAGAGTGACTTGTACGCGTGGCAGTTTGACCACTGCCAAGTGGCCGAAACCCATTGGGTGGCTACGACATGTTGCGGCCCACCATCATGATACGTCTATACTGTGGCGTGTCATACTACAACTGACACTCTCTAGCTTTGCCCCGACCTGCTGAATCAGCTCTACGGTCATCGCATCATCATGTCTAGTATCACAGTGGATGATTATATCCTAAACAATTTGGTCCTACTACTGCTATCTACTCCCTCCGTCCTAAAATAGTTGACTTATCTTTGTCTAAATATAGATGTATGTGTACACTAAAATGTTTAAATACATCCATATTTAGACCAATCCGAGTCAAGTATTTTAGGACGGATGTAATACTTATGTAGCTGGTTGCATGAGTGGATTGATCGCTGACACCGAAAAATGACCACATAGATTAATCCTCTAGTCTGGCTAGCTTTGGCGAGTTGTTTGGCACCTGAATCAATCGACTTGTTCCATCCATATAGTCAACTTTGTGCAGTACTTATCAACCAAATTGGTCAAAAAGAGTCGATCAGATCCTAGCTAGTTTGGGCGTGTTGGCTACAGTTCTCATGTTCGGGGTGTTCCTAGTTGCTAGTGAGCTTTTGTGACTATCTCGTGCCTATAATGCAATCTACTCTGGTACCTCCTGTGTGTGTCACTTTCTCGCAACTAGTTCAGCCGCCCCAATGCTAATCCTTGTTGCGAATATGGTTGGGCATCGCTGTCTTGGTGCTTTTATACCAGAAGGCAAGAAAAGGGACATGGAATTAGAAGAAAATATTTTCTAGGCGGGCTTTATATAAAATATTACCATGTGGCATTGGTCCACCTGTCAAGCATGCAAGTCAAAGCTTATCTGGCGTGCATAGAACCATGGGTGACACACATAAGAAAATTTTAGGAGTTAGATATACATGTTCATAGAATTTGGACCAACTTGACACCTCTCAAATAGTTATAGCGTACTTTATTCTTAAATATACGTCTTATACAGCTGTGGAGTAGGTATTTTGTCGACATCAGCGATGATGGATCTTGATCTTAATAATTAGTAAGAGAATATAGAAGTCCAACTAGCATTTCCGTCACAATGACTGCACATGCAATCCGGATATGTACAACGTACCTTTTTTGGATGCTTCCTTGCGCATCTTTCCTCTAACATAACTCGGTTGATCTGTCGTTATGGTCGGGCTTAATTTAATCAGGTCCTAAATTCTCCATTTTAGTAATTTTGCGAGTGGAATCAATTTGCCCGGCCATGAAAATATGTGCTACTTTGCTAGGGTCGTCTATACGGAGCATTATTCAAATACTTTTTTTTGCGCCAGAAATATCCAATATTCAGCTTGGACAGCAAGGAGAGTAATAGCGCATTTGATGTTCTGCTGCTTCATCTGTTTTTTTATCGCTTCGTCTGTTTTTACTTAAAAAACAGAAACACAATGTCAAAATCAAGTAATCAAGAAGATATGCACTACGGGAAAACCACAAAACACCGACGGCCAATTGTCAGTGCCGTCGACGTAGACCCCGACCAGGCCACCAAAAAAAAAAAATTTGGAGCTACGCCGATGGCATGCTCTCGGCCTAGTTTTTTTAGCTACACCGATGGCATTGCCGTCGGCCTAGCCTTTTTTTAAACTTAATCACCATTTTGAGCATAACTTTTGCAATCGAACTCGGATTTCAATCTTTTTTAGCTCGTTTCGAAGAGGAGAAGCACATCTACATCATCATACATATTGTTCAAGCTATTTTAAAAAAATCATGAGCAAAGACAAAATCAACAATAAAGGGTGATGGCCTTTTCTCCAGCGGGGTTAGGGTTTCGCCGAAGAGGGGCTCCGGAGCGTCGGAATCCAACCAAAAGTTAGGTGGTGCTATACCAAGTGGGTACAAGTGTGATTTGGGTTGTACATGTCGAAGATTTCACTCTGGGATGTTGGCGGCTTCACCATCAAAAGTTTCTCCCTAGTGAGTTTCTAGACTTACAACTGGAAACTCCCACTTTGTCGAAGCGGAGGGAATCTTCTGGAGAGTTTGGGTATAACTTTGTTTTGGGTGTTCCTAGGGGCTACCATAACACAACCAAGCAAATATTTGCACTTTGCTACCCCCTTTTGATGACGGACCGGGTGTAGACGTATCAGCCTGGTTTTTCTCCAGCGGGACTAGGTTTTCACCGAAGAGGGGCTCTGGAGCGTCGGGATCCCACCACAAGCTAGGTGGTGTCATACCATGTATGTACAAGTGTGTTATGGGTTTTGGATAGCAAAGATTGCAGTCCGGGGTGTGACTTGCTTCACTGGCTTCGACTTCTCTCTAGGGAGTTTCATGACTTATAGCCTGAAAGTCCCAGATCGGACAAACATGAGGGAATCTTGTCAAGAGTTGGGTTATACCTTTGTATTGTGACTTCCTAGGGCCTAGCCTAACACAACCAAGCAACTAGTTACACTTTTCTGCCCAATTTTGACGCCGGTACCGGCTTTAGTCGTGTACGCCTGTTTTTCTCCAACGGGGCTAGGTTTTCACCGGAGAGGGGCTTCGGAGCATCGGGATCCCACCACAAGCGAGGGGGTGCCATACCATGTGTGTACAACTGTGTTATGGGTTTTTGATGGCAAAGATTGTAGTCCGGGGTGTGACCTGCTTCACCGGCTTGCACTTCTCTCTAGGGAGTTTACATGCAGTTATAGTGTGATAGTCCCCGATGGGACAAGCCGGAGGGAAACTTGTCAAGAGTTGTGTTATACCTTTGTCTTGTGACTTCCTAGGGCCTAGCCTAACACAACCAAGCAACTAGTTACAGTTTTCTACCCCATTTTGACGCTGTTACCGACTTTAGTCGTATAAGCCCGTTTTTCTCCAACGGGGCTAGGGTTTCACTAGAGAGGGGCTCCGGAGGGTCAGGATCCCACCACATGCTAGGGGGTGCTATACAATGTGTGTAAAAGTGTGTTATGGGTTTTGGATGGCAAATATTGGACTGCAAGGTGCGACCTGCTTCACCGGCATCCACTTCTCTCTAGGGAGTTTCATGACTTATAGCCTTCAAGTCTGACATCGAACAAACATGAGGGAATCTTGTCAAGAATTGGGTTATACCTTTGTATTGTGACTTCCTAGGGCCTAGCCTAACACAGCCAAACCAATAGTTATACTTTTCTACCCCATTTTGATGCCGGTACCGGCTTTAGCCGTATAAGTCTGGATTTTCTCCAACGGGGCTAGATTTTCACCGGAGAGGGGCTCCGGAGCGTCGGGATCCCAACACAAGCTAGGGGGTGCCATACCATGTGTGTACAATGGTGTTATGGGTTTTGGACAAGATTGTAGTCCGGGGTGTGACCTGCTTCACCGGCTTCAAATTCTCTCTTGGGAGTTTCATGACTTATAGCTTGAAAGTCCTAGATCGGACAAACATGAGGGAATCTTGTCAAGAGTTGGGT